CATGATGACAACAATGTGGAGGATTTCGGAGGAGGAGCGGGATGATGAGGAGGATGAGGAGGAGGAGGAGCACGAGCAGGAGCAGGAGCAGGAGCAGGAGCAAGAGGAGCTGGAGGAGGAGGAGGAGGTGGAGGAGGAGGAGGACGAGCAGGATGTCGGCAAGAACGATGAGAAGTGGTGGTGGTTGGGGTGGTGGTGGTGGTGGTGGTGCTGCTGCTGCTGCTGTCGCCCCTGTCGGCGTTTGTAGTGACGGTGATGATCCCGACGAATGGACACCAGGACCTGGCAGAAGGACCTGGTATCTGGATCCGGGATCGAAAGAGAAGCTCCACGCTCAGCAAGGAGGACGTTGCAAAGCAGTGGAGCTTATCTAGGTGTGTGGTCTCTCACCATGAGACGAACTAGAACCTCTAGTTTATCAGGCGCGACTTGTGGATGTCGCAGCTGCAGATGGTCCTCGGCCAATTCAAGAGCCTTGATCTCGTTTCCACTTCTCTGCTGGGATTTTCAAGACTTTGCACACTGTGCAAGTGGTCCGAGTCTGAGGTCCTGGCAAAGGTTATGCGTAAGGTGAAGCATCCTGACCCGAGTGAGTTGGGAGGTTCCTCCACAACGAGCGTCGTTGGACAGCAGGACATACTGGCAGCCTGCACTTAAAGCGCAGGACGAGCCACACAACTCCCCTGCACAGCAGTGCTCGGGAAGTAACTCCTAGAGCTGTACTCGTGCAGGTTAAACCTGACAAGGATGCATGCTCGCCGTTCGCAGCACGAGCGCCGAAGGGTGCAGAAAAAAGCTGCCAATTGCTGCTTCATGACACAGCTGGGCCAAGCTGCCTTGTGACTATGTCACGAACCACTTTCTCTAATTTCGGTGCTCTTGATCGAGTGTCTGTGAATCGGTTTGCAGAGCATCTTCTTCGCGAACGTACCTTTCGTGTCGAGGGAGATAGACCTCAAACGAAGGCTCGGGCATTTGGCAGTCCCTGCTCCTGGAACCATATGGAGCTGCCTGTTGCTGCTTCAGGTTTGCATCTGTTGGGGTCATCAACTCGTTCCATCTGTTCAAGCGGCAGGAGCCTGCAGCAATCTCATGCTGCGATTGCCCTAGCAAAGCTATCTTGGCATGTTGCCGTGCTGCACGCAGGATGGGAGCTCTAGAGGCATGGGCGTCGTTGAGTACGTCACAACGGCTGCAGCATCAAGCCGAGTTGATGACATCGGACTACGTCGGATCATCATGGTGCAGCCGCCTAGACGTGCTTGCACCTCTGCTTGAGGCTAGGCGTGCCGTCAACGCCCTGAGCGAGTCGAATATTGATGGCAGGCAAGTGTTGCGAGCCTCACTCGACATGTTGACTTCTTTCCTGCCCTGGTTCGTGCACAGGTATGTGTTGATCCAGCCTTATAACCGACAATATTACAGTGCTTACTGACAGCAGGCGGGAGTGCAGCGACTGCGAGACTTCCCGTCATTGAGCCATTTCACTCTGTCTAAGGTTCTTCACATCTGACTGAGCTTCGGTTTTCTTCAGAGTCAAAGTGGCTGGAGCATAGGGAGCTGGATCTGCGTCGGAGCTCGTGCTTCAAAGAGATTCCGAGACCAAGCGGTTCCACAAGCTGTAGGGTGCTGTGAAAGTCTGCGTGAAGCTATGCGGGCGACCTACGGATACCTGCAGCCAAAACGGGTCGCTTGCATTCTGCGCCGCAGAGCACAGCAACCCAGGTTTTAGTCCGCTGACTCATAGTCTCATCGTGTCGTTCTCCGCAGGTTCGTCAAGCGACTATGCTGGATGCTTGGACCAGCCTTGATCTCAGCAGAACAAGACCTGGGAACTTTGCGGAGAAGAATCCCATGCAGGCACACGTCCCCTCAAGACCTTGTTTCTCTGAAGACGACAAGCTCTTGGGCCGAATGGTCTCCACCTCGGACCAACCCTAGCGGCCCTAGCGTAGGTCGGCTTCGACAGACGCCGATCGTGAGGTTGGTTGGGGAGGAGAAGCCGATGGGTCCAGTCCACATGAGACGGGTCTCAAATGCGTCGGAGGCACCGGGAAGCAGTCCTAGTAATCACCTAGGACAGGTTCTCTGAGATCTTGAGATCTCTGTATCAAGCTCCTGCGGTGTGTTCCGTTTCCTCAAAGGGCGTAAGATGAGCTGGCCCACGCTGGCTGTGCCTTTCGGACACCGTGCTGGAGCAAAACTGTAAGGTACCAAGCTTGGCTCTCGTACCTTGCAAGTGTACAGAAACGTGTGTGGATGTGAACTCCGGTTCCGCCGATGTTAAATCTTTGGGATTGGCTCAATCAAGCCTCACTGCGCAGCGAGTTTCCAGGTTGGGCCTGTAAGCTTTCTCACGCCGGCTGTGGCTAATTCGGCACGCGGCGTAGAGTGCAAAAAGATGCGATCCGCAGAATCTGCCGCAGGTGACCGAGAACAACGCTTCGGTTTCTCATGAGCTCTGCATGGATGTCAGCGGCAACTCTTCTGCTTAGTTCATTGAGATGAGAAGCACTTGTTGCTCAAGCTGCGCGCATCCCAGCGGATTTGCCTTCTCCTCATGGCTGCTCAGCTATAGTGAAGAGAGAGATACGGTGCGAGTACACTTTGTGAATGTCTTCATATCTCGTCGGCAAAACTCAGCGGCAATGCCGTGCATGATCGCACGTGTGGAAGCGAGGGTCTCTTCCAAAAGCCTCGTGTTTGCCTGTATCCGGTGAGGGAATCGCAGGGCCGAGCCAGGCAGGATTCTCAAAGCTGCTGTTACTACCAGGTAGTAGTCTCAGTCGTAGAAGTGGTGGTGGTGGCAGTAGTCGTCGTCGTACATGTGCAAGAGAGAGCGAAGAGCAAGAGACCAGGCTGAGGTTAGGCCTGGTTGCTGTCTTATCTTTCACTTATGCCTGCTTGCCGTGGTTATTATCCTGCGTTTTGCCGAGCATGCGCGAGACCACGCAAGAAGCCACACCGGGTCTAGCAAGTTCAACAGTTCCAAGACGATTGTCACGGGTTCCGCAGGAATCAAGCCCTGCAGGCCTCTTAGGTCTTGGGTTTAAGATTTTCCCTCCTCAACACTTTAGTGTGGAGGGGTTTTCCCACCAAAGATTGCGAGGCTCAGGGTTCCGGTAAGGGCAGTCTGGAGGACAAGCCCACGGCATGCAAGCGCCGCGGTGAATTTCGGCATTCAGATCGAAGCCACTGCTCACTGACCCAACTCTTCGTTTCGAGGTCAGCATGCGCAGATGAAATCTGGGCTGTCACAAGCCAGAAATGGCTTTGTTGACAGCCCTACCGTCTGGCTCTCAAGTCCAGCGGTGTTGGTTGAGCCCAAAATGTGGTGTGAAGGAACCTTTGTTGGATTTGTGCGGCTCAGGAGGTCGACGTGGATGCTTCGATTATAGCTCTGGAGGCCCACAGCTTGGCAATGGCCATGATGCGATGGCCGCTCCTTCAGCAGAGTACATGACTTTTGCCAGCGACTGTGCAGGCAACCTTCAGCCAGCAGTTGCAGGCTGCACGCAGCCCCGACAAAGGAGGACCCATTCGGTTAAGGATGTGGCATGCAATGAGTTCACTTGTGCTGGCACAAACATGACGAACCTGATTAATCTGACTCTCTTGTTCTGTCATGCGGTAATACAGGAGAGCCGCTTCGTGCAAGACACGATAGCCCGACCTTGGACGAGATAGAAGAGTTTGAAATTGAAGAGGTCGGCTGCAAGCTGCAAATTTCTGGATGCTCGTAGCACCAAAAAATGCCCGGCTGAGAGTCTCGGCGTTCCTTTTTATGTCAGCTGCGCAACTCATGTCGGCCACTTGTCGCAGGTCATCGGTCCGAGAGTTGAAGCCGTCCCGTCTGTCCAGTCTCAATTGGAGGCGCTCAGAGCGAGTCATGACCGTTGCTTCTAGTCCGTCCTTGAGGTCCTGAAGTTCTTGAGACTGGCCTGTGACCTGTTCAGGTGCCTGCAAGCCCGAGTGTCTCACTGACGAGTCCGCCGAAAAGTCCACCAAGTCGGCTTTTCAGTGGAGTGACAACTCCAAAGAGTCGGAATCTGAGCTGTTTCAATCTCCGGGCTCGCTGTGTGCATGGATGCGAGTTTCCGAAACGGCGAATGTGGGCTCGAGCATGAGCCTTTCTACCTGTGAGTTTTTTGGCGGCCGAGCTTGTGTCCGCTGGCTTCTCAGGATGTCAGTTGTGCACGGTCCTACTTGGGCTGAACATTCTGCACTGTCAGGATTACTTCAGTGTTTAGGGAAGCCAAACTGCTCCACCCCCCTGCCGCACACAAGTAGACACATAAACGCACACGCGTGTTTGTGAGTGAACTGCACGCAACCTAGCTCCGTAGAGGGTTAGCGGGCAGGAGCGGCTGGAGCAAAAGCTCGGGCAATGCGGGGAAGAAGTGCGGGTTAGGATAAGGGTGCTCTAACCTAGACGTCTTCGGCAACGAGCCGTAAACACACACACGCACAGCCACACGCGCACACACACACACACACACGCACGCACACACACACACACACACACACACACACACGTAAATACACACATACACACATACGTACGTACATACGTGCATACATTGTACATACAGACAGACATACAGACATACAGACATACAGGCAGACAGACAGACAGACAGACAGACAGACCGACAGACAGACAGACGGACAGACAGACAAACAAACAGACAGACATACAAAGGCGCACGTGCACACACACGTTGAGAGAAGGATCGAGCTTTTTGGGTTTCCCAAGACGCGCGCAACAGAACACATCGAGGTTCTGGCGGTGGGCTTTGAGCATGGCTAGAGCCTCTCTATGCTTCGCAGAGTTATAGTTGCATCTTTGGCGGACCTTGTACTGGAGAATGTACTGGAGACTTGCAGCACATTGCCGGCGATCTCGAAGAAGTAGCCAACTCGCTTCCCGTCCTTTCAAACGCCAGCAACTGTCAATCATCTGTTACGAGCCTGCTTGCCATTGGCAAGTCGAGGTCACGATGCTGGCTCGTGATGATCCTCATATTGCCATCTTTCTGCAAGTCATTGTCGGCCCTGATTCCGCCGGTGCAAGTGTGTGGCAAGGTCCAGGGTCAGTAGGTCAGTGGGTCTTGGGAGAGTCGCGAAAGGAAGCATCTTCGGATAGCTCATGCATTTTCTGCAGATGCTCGCTCAAAGCCTGGCATATCCTAGGAAAAGCTCATCTCGCAGATGACGCTTGAAGAGAAAGCAGGTCAGCTCACGATTTTGGCTGACACAGTCCGGCCCTGCAATCCGGATATCAATCCGGAGGCAGAAGAGATTTCTCTTGTTTCATTTTAGGGGCAACAGGGTGAAGATGCTAGAGAGTGTCACAAAGTGTCACTCTTGTTCATCGTCTGGCGCACTTTTGCTTGCAAGGTCAATCACCGGCAGGCTCATGAAATGGTGGAGCAAATTCGCAAGAGCCGAGTGGGGTCTCTCTTCAACGGTGTCGGCATCAAGGAGCGGACCCGAACAAGATCGCAGCACCTCATGGAACTCTCAGAGACTCACCCATTTATGGCTTCAGTTTCCGCTTGGCCTGTCTTGCGAAGGAGGGCCGAGAGGCACAACGCCTCGCGGTCGAGGAGACGCGTCTGGGGATCCCCCTGATCTTTGGCAGCGTCGCTTCGTGGCACTTCCTGGCACTGCACAGGGCCCCTCATATGCTGGAGTGGACTTCTTTGTGTCAGGCTGTGAGCCCTCTCAGGATGTGATTCATGGCATGTGGACGGTCTTTCCCATCCCACTGGGCGAAGCGGCGAGCTTCGATCCAGACTTGGCATTCCAGACCGCGCGCGCGACGGCCTTGGAGACCACGGCCTCCGGCGTTCACTGGACTTTTGCCGGACACTCATTCTTAGATTCTTGCTTTGCTTTGCTTGCCTTCGGCCCATTATCGGTGTACGCTTAAGACAGTCTGAGACGAAATTGTCAGACTCATGCGGTTCTTGCAGGCACCCATGGTTGATGTCGCCAGGGACCAAAGGTGGGGACGAGTTGCAGAAGGTTCTGGAGAAGATGTCTTCCTGGGCAAACAGCTGGGAGTTGCACGAGTCAGAGGCTTCCAAGGAAATGATCTACGTGCTGAGGACAGTCTGCTGGCAACACCCAAGCACTTCGCTGCTTACGGAGGGGTTTCAGGAGGCATGGACTACAACTTCGTGGAGATTTCTGAGGCGACCCTTCGTGATGTGCATCTTCCTGCTTTCAAGGCTTGCATAGATGCGGGTGCTTTGACGTTGATGAGTGCCTTCAACGACATTGCCGGCGTGCCAGCATCAGGAAACCGGTGGCTATGTACGCAGGTGTTGCGCAATGAGTGGGGGTTTAAAGGTTTCATTGTATCAGACTACACGGCCGATGAAGAGCTTATTTGCCATGGCTTTGCAGCAGATGGGCGTGATGCCGCTCGACTCGCGTTCAAAGCAGGTGTAGACATGAGTATGCAGAGCGGCTTGTACGTGCAGCACATGCAAGATCTGGTCGCTAAAGGGGATGTGTCCATGGAGGAGGTCGATGAAGGAGTTCGACGCATTCTGAAGATCAAGAAAGCCATTGGCCTCTTCGAGAATCCGTACAAGTGCTTAGACCCAAAGCTTGATGAGAAGATGGAGAAGCTGCGAGCAGCTCACGAGCCGCTGGCCAGAGAGGCTGGCCGCAAGTCAATAGTTCTCCTCAAGAATGACTCGAAAGTGCTACCTCTGAAGAAATCTGGACAGAAGATAGCCTTGATTGGGCCTTTTTCGACGGATACACAGAACCTTCAAGGTTGCTGGACAGTATACGGTGACAAGAAAAGAGCAGTTCCGCTGGATGTTGGCATCCGCAAAGCTTTGTCTAAGGTTGATGACCTTGAGATTGTGCAGGGCTGCGACTTTGAGACTGCTTTAGACGGAGGAATTGAGAAAGCTGTTGCGGCAGCCAAAAGGGCTGAGGTCGTTGTCCTCGCCGTCGGAGAGCCGGAGAATTTCTCTGGTGAGTCGCAATCCCGCACGCAGATCATCATCCCGCCAGCGCAGCAGGCTCTGGCCGAAGCAGTGTCAGCAACAGGAACCCCTGTTGTGGCGTTGCTACGGACTGGACGGGCGCTCGCACTCTACGGAGCTGTCCGGGACGCACAAGCGATTCTGGTCACGTGGTTTCTGGGTACCCAAACTGGACCCGCCATTGCAGACGTTCTCTTCGGTGACTACAACCCTGCAGGTCATCTTCCGGTCAGCTTCCCCGCGGACTCCGGGCAGCAGCCCTTGTTTTACAACGCTCCGCGGACTGGACGCCCGCAAGGCGATGGACCTCGCACTTTCAAAGCGAGTTGGAGGGAAGTGCCGAGCAAAGCCTTGTATCCGTTTGGCTATGGCCTGAGCTACACGGAGTTTTCTTTCACCAAGCCAAACCTCAGCACCAACAAGCTGGGCTGGGACCAGGCGCTTCAGGTGACGGCACAGGTGCCTGTCTCTGTTTGAGTCTGGCATCTAGGGTCTTTTGCTGCGCCGCTGCACTTTAACCTGTGACATGTGCCACCTCGAAGGTGAGCAATACCGGCAACCTGGAAGCAGCCAAAATGACCCACTTGTTGGGATCCAAGAGTGCCAGCACCACCGTCGCGCCGGCTGAAACACTTAGGTGCGTTGGCTGGCGAGAAAGTAGCGCAGCTGTACGTGCACGACTGTGTTGCAAGTCGGGTGCGACCGGTGCGAGAGCTGAAGGGTTTTCAGAAGGCCGGGGTCGTCATGTGTGTATGAGCATTCAGACGGCTGTGTGCGTGACAGGTGCTCTTGAAAGCTGGCGAGACAAAGACTCTCACGTTTCAGATCTCAAGGCAAAGGACTTGGTTAGTACTCGGAAACAGCCGGATGTACCAGTTCTATATCGAAAGAAGCTCAGGCACGACCTGGCTTTCCACGGGGCCGATGGCAAGCTCGTAGCAGAACCTGGCGAGTTCCACGTTTGGATTTCTGGCTGCTCAGTACGGCCCTCAGACGGCCGTTTCTGGCAACTTCCATTTCCGTGGACGGTGTGCTGAGTGCTGAACGGCTGCAGGCATCTGGGGAACACGAGAAGTTTGATTTGCTCGCACCTTAAAAGCTGCAGCCCCGAATTTGGGGGGTGCAGCGACGAGTTTGTACAGGTCTTGCAGCATCGCGCAGCATTGGCTGTTCCGGTCCTGCCTAATCAATTCACTATTGTCGTCGACCTCTTACAAGGGGCACGTCTGCAAGCTTGCTCTTTTGAGTGGCAGCTAGCCTGCCGAAGCCGGTCAGGCTTCGTGACAAGCTTGCAAGGGAAAATGCCCTTTCGGAGTCTTTCCGATGTTTTTGTCGTGTCCTGGTGCCGCAAGGTGCTGATGGGCGGCCGCGCACTCTCGAAGGCCCCACACAATATGTATAATATGAGTTAAGGATGCACTAACACTCAGACCTTGAGAGGCAAGAAGACGCAGTCATACTTGGGAAGGCCAGGGATGCCCAGTTTGGAGGGCATGCAGCCGATTGTTGTTTACTTTAGGGTGGCTGGTGCCACAACTGCGGCGCGGCTTGCTCGCTTGCTCTGCTGTGGGTTGTTGACTGTCTGCGTCGGATGAGCCACGCATGCTGCATGCCAGGTTTTGACCGAGGCTTCAAGCCTTCTGCTGGAAGAGATTTCCGGTTGCAGCATCCCGAGGGCGATGTCACATTCTCAGAACATCCCATGAGCCCAATGACTCGCTCCGACAGGTCCTGTTGGTGTGCAAACCTCGGGAATTCGACCGGTAGCTGTTCGGCAGTTAGAGCTTCAACAATAAAACTCAGGTGCCGGAAGTACCGAAAAGCACCCAGAGGTGCGGGTCTGGACTTGGGCATGGGCGATCTAGGATCGGAGAAGACAAGGAATTTGGCTTTGAGTAAAGATTGCACAGGTTTACACTTGTTCCTGAGCAGAGGCTTAGTTTTCATTGCAAGCCCTTTGGGCACTTTGTAGCACATGGAGCCGAATGCTGGCAGCTGCTCTGCCTGGCAGAAGCAATGGCAAACGACCTGCCAGGAAAGCCAGCTTCTCGCAGAAGGCTTGCGTTTCTACGTTCAGACTCTCATTCCAAGCCCATCTGCAAAGCGAGCATGGATGGCGAGACATGGCGAGATATCGTCTCCGAAGCTTTGCCACGTGCTTTGTTGCAGGGTTCATCGGCAGAGTCGAAGAGCTTCGTCGCCGGCTGAGAGTGCAGTAAAAGCAGCAACACGTGTCTGAGAGAGGCCAGAGGTGCTTGGCGAATCTTTGCCAAGTCTTTTCACCACCGTATCTAGGCAGCCAGTGTGGGTCGCCCGCAGAGCGCGGAGCTTAAGGGAGCGGCTCACATGCCTGCAGAGCGGCCGTGTCGAGTGGTACAAGACCTTGGGCGCTTTCCTCCGCCATTTGCACGGTTCGGCTCGCTGTTTATTCGTTCCATTGGCGAGCGAAGGCTTGTCCGGGTCGGGAGAATCACTGAAAGTCTACACGCATCGCGAACACACCAGTTGAGGCCCAGCATTGCTGAAGAAGGTTCAGTTCCTGAGATTCGGAACTTCATCTACTTACCTCCAACGTGGTCGCCGTGAGCTCGCTAAGACCGGACATAACGACGAATGCATAGAGAACTTTCCGAGTACCAGAAGCCACAAAGATAATGACCTGGAAGAACGTGCAAGATGGTGGAATACCTGCGTGATAGGGTTGGATGTAGGCTCGTCCCGGGGACGTTGGAAGCTGTTTTTCGCATTCCACTGTTGACGCTGCCAGCGAACAGTGATTGAATTTGTGTTGGATGGCGAAAAAAAGAAAGGTGGACGAATCGAGGGCCACACAACTGCACACCCACCGAGCCAGACAGTTGAAGCGGATTGGCATGCCTTCGCCTACTGCTGGCCAGAGAGCAAGGTCGTGCTGGCGGAAACCCAAGTGCTCGGACACGGTACTGGACCTTTGCCCATAACATTTTCACATGAAGGAAGCTTGTTCATGCGTTGCGCTTCTCGTTTGCTTTTTGGAGCTGTCTTCCAAGATCGTGTCCACTTTGGCTAGTTAAGGTGCTGCGCGATCCAAGACGTTGCTGCTAATGGACAGGCCTGTGGCAAGATCCCATCCCCGCATCCCCGCGACCGCTTCAACACGGATCAAGCTCCCTGGAAAAGTTTTGCCGCATTCCAGGCCTCTCAAGCGAGAGCGAAGGGGTCGAGCGGGGGAGTTTCGGCAGCGCTCGGGCCCCAATGAAACTGGCTTTGAGTTGGAAGAGTGACTGCAGCAGCCGGCCTAGTCGTCGGATGTCGTCGGCCTAGGCTTGGATGTGCTGCTGGCGACCGACTCCAGCGCCCGGGCTGTTGCCAGTCAGCCTGGTGCATAGTACAGCATAGCACACCAAGGAACGCGAATCAGAGAGTCATAGCAATGTGCTGTACCTTCACAGTACCCGAGTGCAGAGGGTTACTTGTCTTGGCAACCTTGCCGTGACTGCGCTGCGCGTTCGTTTGGCTTGGCAGACGTTGCCCTCCCCTTTCCAGAGACTTCCCCTGAAAGATGGCGGATGCTCGCCTGCAGTTTGGCATGGCCGCAACGTTAATTGCTATCCGCTTGCAACTTGGGCCATCACAGCTTGATTTCAGCCGACTGCATCCAATCGAGGAGAAGGATCTGGTCCGCAAAGCCTGCCTGAAGCGGGGCGTCAGGCCTGACAGCATTGCCTCTAAAGTGAGCTTCGACGTGGGAAAGGCAAGAAAAGCCAACAAGGCAAGCGGAGTAAGAGGTACCGTTCGATGTGGCTGTATTTGGAGAGGACAGCGTAAGGACGAGATGCCGTATCGAAACGACAGCATGCCCATATTTGTCAGCAAAGGAAAGGGAAGCATCGGCAATGCACTCTCGCCCTTCAATGTGAAGGTTCCTGGCAAGATGATCAGTTGGGCGACAGAGGATGGTAAGCAGGGAGGGAAGCCACTGCCCATTGACCGGCCCCTGGAACTCGTTTGGCAGGCAGCCAAAGTCGCCGAAGGAGAGGACTGGCCCTCCTACTTTGCGCGGCGCGCAAAAATCTATAAGAAAGGAAAGCCTCAGAGACGCTATTTGGATCGGGATGCAAAGATCGCAGGCTCTTGCCTCGGCCTTCCTGAAACTGTTCCTTACGTGCCTTCTAGAGCCTTCTATTGCACCGCCTATGAAAGAGCCCTCTCCAGCCTGGAAGAGTTCCAGCTCCTGGAAGACCTGGTTGCTGAAGGTTTCAACCTGATGCTCCTCGGCCCGGATGGGTTCCCCATGTGCGAAGAGAGAGGTGCCGTCGCGAAGGCATACAAAGATGGCTCTCGGTCGTTTGGACATGAGCGAGTCTTGGTCGCCATGCTGCGGCAAGAGTACCCATGGCAACGGGAAGCTCGCTGTTGGGTGGAATGACCCACACCGAGCCGAACTGGCTGGTACAGTGTACAGATGTGTACAGCAATCAGGCCTGAGCACGAAAGTTGTCTTGCCCTGAAGTGCGTGTGCAACACACGCAGTACTATCCAGAGCCACGGGGAAAGAGTGAGGGTTCGTGAGAGCAGTGTCCACGAACTGGGAAGTGGCAACAGTCCGAGGCTTTATGACCGCTTCGATGGGGACCTCAGCAAGCTTCCCGCCTTGCTGCAGCTGCTGGAAGACAGGTGCGACCTGTTTGCTGCCAAGAATAGTTCCTCGGCATCACAACAGGCAGCAGCTGAGCCAGCCACCTAACATCCAGACTGTCAGGTGGGAGTTCCCTGCCAGGGTGTTTCCACTCCTATGGACGCACATACGACGGGCCTCTGGCCGCTGCTAGCTCAGTGTGTATGCAGCATGGAAAGGCTTAGATCCTGATGTGTATTCGGACGTTGCTGTAGCCATCTGTCTTAGAAAGGGGTAAAGCTCAGCTGCTCAGATTTCGAAGCTGTGCTCTGGCGCGTTGCTTCGGGGGCGTCCGATGCTAGGTGCTGAAGATCATAGCAAGCCACTAAGCAAAGACGACTGGGCTGGAGCCTAAGTGCATGAAATGCAGGCAGTTGTCCCGTTTCCACCGTACCAGCACTGCATGGTCAGTTTCTTTTGTGCTGCACATGAAGAGCAGCTTCACTTGCTTTCGAAAGTTGGATCTATGCATGTCTGCCGAGCATGGCTTCCGCAACTTTTTTCGGAAAGCAGCTGCCGACATGCAAGATGAAGACCGAGCCACGCACCACTGTTCTCCGAGCTGTCGTGTGGCTCGGAAAACGGTTGAAACAGTAGCAAACGGGTGCTAGCATTCGTACATCTGGCAACTCTCCCAGTGAGACATTGCTATCCATTCGCAGAACTAGCTTTTGGTTAACTCAGCAATCACCGCCATGGCGGCTAATTCAAAGGAGAGCGATGTTGCAGAGAAGTGCCTTGTTGGCAACCGGAGCAGCAAACTAGCAAGTAGCTTAGACTCTGCACGACTCAGCAAGACTGGGCGATTTGTGGTTCGGGAGTCCGGTCTCACTCGGAGCGACGAATAGTCAAACCGCTTCAAGCTGCAGTTAGTCCTGTGTTGAAGTTCGTGTCGCTGCACCACGAAGTTCTTCAAAGCAACGCTCCAGGAAGGCTGCTATGAAGAAGCTGTACATGTCAGCGTTCCTAAGCGTGGCACAGACAGTCATCACCATTCAGTCGGAGCCACTGCTCGTCAAGGACCTAAGTTCCCCAGTGTCAAAGCCTTTCGTGCCATGTTTGGCTTTGCAATGCTTTGACGATCTGTTGCAGGAGCTCGCGGGTGGCGACATTGGGCTCACTGCGAAGCTGCTTGCCAACACGCAAGGCTTCGTTGGTGTGCTGGGCATCATTGTCAACCAGAGACTTTGAAGGCACGTGGGTTCGCCAGTTCGGTTTTCCTTGCCGTGCTGCGGTTACCTGGTGCCACAGATGTAGACGAGCTCGTTGCAGATTGCATTAGCTCATTAGCTGTGACGACGAACTCAGGACTGGTGGCAAATTCTCCGATGCTCTGGGAAGAAAGCAATTTCTCGCACTGGGGCCTCTGGCAAACATTCTGTTCGGCAGCTAGCCAGCATGCAACAGCCCATAGCTGTCCTGCATGGTGCAGATCCTGCAGCCGGTCTCTGCCAAGGCTTGATGATATTTCGAAACTCCCAGAGGCTCAGGGTAGTCTTGCTGACCTCTCAGACAGCAATCAGGCCAAGCTTTCGGGAGAAGGATTGGGTGCACGTATCGCCCGATGTGAGGCCAGTGCGGGTTCTAAGAGCAATCCTGACGACATTCTCGAGCACGGTGATGCTCACAGCGGCCCTGCGCCTTGGCAGAGGTTCCGCCTTTGATCAACTTCAGTCTTGCAAACCAGGGCAGGGGCTTTTGGTAGATCAGTGAGCTTGGTTGGGTCGTGTCTTGCGAGCGTGGCGGCAGTAGCTATATTACAGCTCTAGGCTATATTAGCTATACGGGATTCATTGCTTGGATTCCAGGTGAGGGTGCACCACCATGCGAGGACATATGGATGAACATCAATGCACGTCCAGGATTGCCAGAAACAGGAGTCTTCACCCGGATCAGGACTAAAACTCATAGCACAGGTCGCGTGACACAGTGCCAACGGCACTTGCAAGAGCCTGGGAGACTAGGAGTTCGAAGCAGTTTCAACGTTTTACACCCAGCCGACAATCACGCAGTGTGACACGTCCTCGACTTGGGTGGTGCAGAACTGCAGCACGGTGCAGAGCAATCTCGTTGAAGCTACTCTGGGGAGAATTGGTTTTTGACACGGCATGGAAGACAATCTGCAGGTTGACTGATGGAGTCGTTTAATACAAGTGGTGCTACATCTTGCAATGCTCCTTGAGAATCAAAGATTCGAGGTCAGACGTGGCCCAGGGCGCCGAGCTGGGCGCTGCCTTGAGCAAGATGGGCACCACGGCACAATCTCGAAACTGTCAAAGCCATGCCTCCAAAAAATGATGATCCGAGGGGCTGCTGTCGGTGCGGGCATAGTTATTACGCCGTTTGTGGACTGCCACTGCTTGTGCAGCACGATGATTTCGAGCCTAGTCTGTTCAATGTTGTCTGGAATCTGAGCGCATGACGAAGGAGGCTCTCTTCTTGCAAAGATCCAAAAGCCCGCGAACGGCGTACTTGGTGCACCTCGTCTGCAAAGCCTGTCATTCGGCAGCTGAAAAGCGCCATGTCGATACATGCTCTGTGGGCTCCACCTCATTCAGGTTGTCGGCACTGGGATGCGTTCACGCCTTACCCTATGCCTCGAAAGCAGAGAAGGCCGAGCAGAGGCTCTTCGGTGAGTTCGGCCGAGGTGCATGCGGCATTCGTGGGGTTGTCGGTGCCGGAAACACTTCGACGCGCACAGAGGAAGACCCTGGCATCTGCCATGCAGTGCTCTGGCTTCGACCATGCACTACTGTAGACATCCCCGTTCATGCGGCCTGTATCCAAAGTGCATGACGAGGCTGTCTTCTATCAATCCGTTTGGCTTCTTGTGCCTGTGTTGCAAAGCTACATGCTCCTGCACATGTCTGCGAACTGAAAAGCATCGTGTCTTTTTCCTTCTCAGGAACATCTTCCGAAGGGGATCTGTGGGCCTGCAGAAGATGATCTGTATTCAAACCTTGCAGATGTTCTTAGAAGGGAAGAACTTGAGCGACCTGGTGGAGCTCTGGAAAAGGGAACATCTCAAGTGGACCGTGGAGGGAAGCCGCAACTTTGTGATGATCTATGGCACGCTTAGCATCCTTTCGGGTATCTATGTGACTCCTTACTTCCTCAAAAACCTCAGTGCCCGCGGCTTCACATCTGCAACATGGCTTTGCAATGAAATGCCGGGACATGTCTGGGTCCTAGGAGGTTAATCTGTCACTTCTCGCAACTGTGATTGTCCAGTCCACCTGTGCTGTCGAAACTCTGGTCTCTTGCATGGTCGGCTGCGAAGTGCAGCAGGCAACGAATCTGCTGAATCTTTTGGGATTCCTGCTACGTGGTGCCAAAGAGCAATCCTGGATCTTCCTGCTGGCGATCATTCCGATGTTCACGGACGGCAGCATTATATAAGTCGGACTTGAACCGCGAATGTAAAGGACAAGGAAAGCCGACAAGCTGAAATCATCTCGGCCGAGGCTTCCAGGCGTCAACGGCGCTAGTGCCACCGCCCTGAAGTCCATCAGTGCCGACCTGGCCACGTCTGAAGGCTTCGGCAAAGGTTCGGCGCCTATACACTGAAGCGAACCATGCTTTTGGCAAAAGAGTGCAGCTGTGTTAAGGTGAGTTCTCCGCCTGGACCAACAACCTGCGTGCCTTGGCTGGCGCGGTTGCAACAGTGTCTTGCCTGAACGTTGGGCAGTTCTGAGTGCCCATTCCAAGTCGACAAGCCTCTGCATTCTAATGTTGTAACGATTGTACGCTTCTTGGTGCTCAGGTGTTCTATGGGAATTACTATTCCTGGTGCAAGCGGACCGGAACTCCCGCGGGGACCACCTTTGCCCTTGCCGGTCTCGTCGGAGCAGCGCTCCCAGAGCTCCTGCTGCGTCTGACGAGGGACAGCACCTCGGCAACACAGATGGCAAACAGAGCCGCTCCGTCATGTTTTCTGCTGGATTCTGCAAGGCGAAATCCAGAGATCGAAGCAAGAATCACCTGCATAGTGGATTGCTGGGCACCTGGAGATTTTATCGTTCTCTACAATCCTCGAGCATCTCCAGCAGCGTGCACATATGCTCGGCCTGACACGCCGATCGATGCACGGAGACAAAAAGTTTTTGCTGCTTTGCGCTTTGGGCACTTGATTTCCGTCCTGCGTTCGCCAGCCCACGCACAGAGCACAGTTGCCTGGTTAAGGGTTCGCAAATGTTGAAAGTGACATCTTCAGGCTGCAGCTTTCGACAACTGGCTGCAAGCGCTGAGAACGCGGTGTGGCTACTCCAAGGCAAGATAGCGCCTTACTGCTGGGGAGAGACATTGCTCCAGCTTGTTCCAGTTTCTGTGCTTGAGAGACAGCTGCGCTGCTTTTTTGGCTCAAACTCAGGTCTTTTTTTTATTGGGGGAGAGAGAGCACAGAACGCTTTTTGTGTGCAACAGCTTCTGCCAACATGCTGATGCGGCTTGACGAAGATTTGGAAAGACAGAGTGAAGCGCACGGATGTTGATCTGTCAGTTTACGGCCCTTCAGGATGCACCAGGAATCGATCTACAACATCATCCCACCAAAACAGGTTGCACAGGCCGGAGTGAGATAATGTCGTATAAAGCTTGTTATGCCGTTTCTCCCCACGTTCGTCACCACATTACAGCAGCCTAAATCTACCTGATCCGCGAGACTTCGATGCTTTCCAGTGACAGGAGCGCCCGCCGATGTACAAGTCGAAGAGCCTGAGCTGCATGACAGGATCTCACCCCTGCAACCCCATCCTACACAGTTTCGCTGAACAAAGGCATTCTTCCGACCTTCCTCCGACGGCTTCCACCTTTGCAGCAAAGGGAACAACTTGTCCAAACGTAAATGCCTCGGCTCTTACACAACAGCTGGCTTCAGACGCTTTTCGCACCATCCAGAAGATTAATGCCTCCCGAGATAGCCAACATTGGTGGTGGACTGGACAAGAAGATCGGCGCTTGGATTCTGTCAGCTCGCAAGAACTTCATGCCAGACACATCAGACCTAGGCCAGTTGCGGATAAGTCCCACTCGTCGTTCGGGAAGCCCAAAGGGCACTACTGTCCCTGGGTAGCATGCGCAGCGCCTTCGCAGCTTCGAAACAATTGTAAAAGGGCTTGGCGCACAGGTGATGATCCAGGAAACTTTTTGAAAAAGAGCGAGAAGACCGGGGGCAAGGCAAGGCCCCCGATGGCAGTCCTTGTAACCACTGCATTGCTTCTGTAATGATGTAAATTTTGGACCTCTCACTCTGGGAGCTGTCAGGTACTCTCCTTGAAAGAAATGAAGAAAGAGCATCCTGAAGCCTTGCTTCCGACGCAGCTGCTTCTCGGTCATGTTGTTTGCGTTGCAGTGGGCATTCGGGGAGTGTCTTCGGCATCATCAGGAAAGAGCAAACGCGTGGAGGAGTTCCAAAAGCCTCCGAACAGCCAGTGATGAATCTGGTGACCAGCAAGAACTTCGTCGACACTTGCATGCACACAGCTTGGTAGGGGCCTGGGCCTAGTGTTTGGATGAATGCGTTCTTTTCATGCATCTCGTCCTGTGGTATCAGGTAGCGAATGCCGTGGAGGTGATCCTGGCAGCTCCGAAGAAGGTGCCAGAGGGCACGAAGGACTCCTGTAAGTTGTGTGACCGGCAGCACGGGCTGGATTCGCCGAAGTGGAAGAGGTTGTGCTTTCCACGGAGATGTGCAGGATTATCTCAAGAAAGAGGATTATGGAAAGGTGCCGAAGTACTTGCAGAACATCAAACAGGACTTTGAGTTGCGCAACATGTAACAGTCCGGAGAAGCGCGGCCAGCATTGCCCGGGCCAGGACATCGAGGCAGAGTATCAATACATCAGGCTGGCTCAGGGCTGTCTCAACTTGTTTACACAGGCCTTCGTGACACAGACCTGTACTGAGCTACAGACTTTGTCAAAATCTAACCTGACCATGTCGATCAGGGCCCTGCAAGAGCAGCAGGAGCAGGCAGAGGCCAGGCTTTGTGTTCGTGGTCACTGGCCTATGCTAACATTGATGTTCCACCTCACTCTTTCTGCTGGCCGTTGGTGAAACTGCACGGGTTTCTTTGTATGCGCCCTTGTCAAACTCCAACAGCCAACAAGACATCATCAAGTGCGCGCGCCGGAGGACGGGCCTTTGAGCCAGTGATGTGCGTATGCTGGCTGTCTGTGTACCCTTTTTATCCGTGTAATACATGCTTTCCGTTGTTGTTGGTTGGGTGTGTTGTGCAATGGGCATCTACATGGTGTGGCCTGTATGCACAGTGGCGTCAGCGTTGCTGCCTAAAGCGGCGTGCTCGTGCCCTGGCCGTTTGAATACATGGTCAATGTTGATAGGTGGCTTGAATCTTTCGTGACCTCAGCTAAGCAGGTGTGCAAAGGCAGGGTTTGCGAGTAGGAACCGGCAGCACTGCTTAAAACGCAGCCCGCTAGTTTCGATGCCTCGGCAGCTTCCCGTATAGCTGAGCGTGCACTTTGCTGTTGTCGCGTGTTTCAGGTCTCGTGCGACGTGCAGTTGTGAAATGTTGGGCGAACCCATCGTGTACTTGTGGTTTTTGTGCATGTGCAGTTTTCACGTGTTTGAGTGTATTGTTGCTTCACTTGCGTGAAGAGTCTCACGCCACGTGCAGATTTGACATGTCGGGGTGGTGCTCCTTGAAACCTAGTGTGTACTTGCTGTTTCCACTCGTTTCAATGCCTGGGCAGTGGGCAGCTCCCTCTACAACGCAGCACGCACTTGCAGTTTTCTTGTGTTTCAGTGCACTTTGCTTCACTTTGTGCCAAGAGTCCAAAAGTCTCGCGCTGCTACTGATGCGCTCTGCAGCCTTCGATGTGTGTTGTTGAGTGCGTGCTTGGCGAACTGAAGCGACTCAACGGGGAAGGGCTGTTGCCACCGATGTGTGCCTGAAGCGGGTGCTTGCGATATGGAGCGTCTACATGGGGAATTGTTACTCTTGATGTGCGGGTGCGCTGAGAATACTGCAAATGTCACCGTCATTGACACCGGCTGTTGCAGAGCTTTTTCGCAAAACCAAGCATGTAGTTGGGGTGGTTAGGTTGGGCTTTTCACGTGCCAGTGGTGATTTAGGGTTGGGGACTTGTGGCAGTTTGTCAGAGAGAAACTGAAGGCCTCTGCTAACGTACGGCATAACATCTAGTTGTAATATGATTGTGTTCGGCACTCTTCGGCATTGCTGCTTGCCACTTTCAAGGCCAAATGATGCAAATCATGCTACCCACGAGGTTGATGCGGCGATGCCCCATGTCCTGTCCGCACTAAAAGCCGTGTTGCAAACATGAAGCCTGAAAACATCCGTTTCTTCATGTATGCCCAGTGTGATTGAGCAACCTGCCCGAAGCCAACATGGTTCAGAGGCGAACAGCAAACGTTCGTGTCGGCCCTTCCGGGCACGGCCGCAGAGGCAGAAAAAGGGAGAAGGAAGGACGGCCGGAGGGGAGGCGGGTGGGCGGTGGAGACAAGTTGAGGAATTTTGTGCGAAGATCGTGCTTTGACGTTCGCAGGAGGTGGGCTTGGGATCGGGGGTCTCACTGGGGAGGAGATGGAGAGGGAGGATCACTGGGGAGGGGATTAAGAGAGGGGAAACAGGGTTTCGTGGGCGAATAATGCATGATGCGTTCACATCACATTTGTCTGTCTGGAGGGTCGCTTGCTTCATCGACATGACGTTGGAAACTTGCCGTGACAGTGCAGGCAAAGATCGCCGCATGGAGTACTTAGAATCCAGCAGTGTCGCAGAACAACATCTATAGCAACAGTGTATTGAAAAAACCATCAATCGCATTAGAACGTCCAGTGCGAGTAGAAAAAGACTGTCGCGACACGTAGAGGGTAGATGAGCCTCGAAGTCGAAGACTAATGTCAACCAGTACAACACGCAGCACAGCACGAAAGCAAAGGAAGCGGTTCTTTGCTTTAACTGAGTATGTCGATGCACACGCAAGATGTAGACAAGTGCATGTATGTATGCACACACACATATACATACATACATACATACATACATACATACATACATACATACATACATACATATATATATATATATGTACATATGTGGCGTATCTTGAATCACACGCCCACTGGTGTCTAATTGTTCAATGTTCGCCATCTCCGCATTTGGTCTTCGCCAAGTCCCAGTCCCTTAGAGTCGACCAGCCTCATTCTCATTCCGAACAGGCTGAGCGAGTTCGGCCCATGACAGAGGACGAGCGCCAAAGCCTTCTGGAGGGACTGAAAGCCAAGTGGGAGCAGGTCCGCGGCCGGTTCGCCTTGCAAATTTTCCGAGTCGTCACCAATGTCATAGGTCATGTTCAGCACCGCCCGCATTTCGATATCCGATTCTGCGAGCGTCGGGGACGGGAACCGTCAGGTGAACACAGCATATCAAGGCGGTACGCACGTGACCAACTTGGTGGGAGCTCCAAGTTTGCCGGTTCAGCGACTACGGATTGTGCTGATGTTTGTTCAGTGCCAACATCTGCCAGCCTAAGGATACGATGGGTAAGCTGAAGCGGAAGGAGAAACACGAGGCTGAACTGTCCCAGCTCGAAAAGGACATTGCCACTCGGACGTGGTATGGTTCCAAGTGTTGTAGACCTGGACGTCCAGAAGATACGCTACGCAATTCAGGAAAAGCTCAGCAAGAGGAGCATCCACATCAATTCAGAAGCTCGCCTGCACTATGAGATCAGAAAGAATGTGACCGTGTGGACTTATATGTACCCTTCGTCGGCTCCCTGAGTTCTGCAGGAAGCCTGAGTGCCTGCACACTTCTCCTCGAAGGAGAAAAGAGTGCAGGGTTCATGTTGCGGTTTCACGTTGTCTCACAGGTCTTACCTCTCCGAGGACTAGGCTTGATCCTAGAGCTCGAAGATGTATATGCATAGCTAGTACAATAGTAATCGCGAGCAGAAGAGCTGCCATGCCAGTCTCCGTGGCTTCGAAGAAGTCTATGGCAAGTTTGCGGTATGTAAGCCGGTGCCGAGGTGCATTCGCTTTCAGCGAGGAGTAAGAAAACTGCGTGTGGCAGCATGCAAGCGACGCGTCACTGATCCTTAGCTGCTGCTTTCTCGACATCCTTGGCCAGGTTTCCAGGCAGTGCTTGGTGCACACGCGCCATGGTGATGATTGGAGCAAGGCGCCAGGGTGCGTCAAGTCGTGGGCCAGTCTGATAATACAAAAACGAAGAAAGCCAAACACACCCGGTTTTGTAAAGTTTCAAGCAGCTCCGTTTGAAGCCGCATTCTGATGCACAGATGTACAGGGACGGCAGATGGCGGAAGCGTTGCCAACGAAAGTAAATATGCAGGCTAGGATTTTCAGTTGTGTCGTGAAATCGTGCTCATGCGCGACACGGACGGAAGTGCGCCGGAGAAAACCTGAACAGGCATTTTGCTATCCACTGTCACCAACCAGAATCAAGCATGCATTCATGCATGCATGGATCCATGCATGGATGAATTGCATGATCTTGATGCGGAGTCTAAAGTACGTCGAGATGAGACCGTGAAAACTCCAAGGCCACTTTCTGTGCAGGATTCCCATCACGGTAGGGGTAGGCTGCTCCTGGCCTTCAAGGCTTCGAATGTCGGATTTTCGAGGGACCCCGTGTATCCGGTTATTGAATGACGGTACAACAGCGGCAGATGAGGGCTTTTGGAGCGACCGCCGAGCTCAGAGAATATGTTGCCTTACCCGTGCTTCAGCAACATGCAGCGTTGGGCAAGCTGGACCAATCCAAGTTTGCATTTCTTGTATTCCTGTCATGTCACATTGTGCACTGCACGTGCAAAGGTTCTAGGATCGTAAATGGTCGAGTCCCAGATGAGGGGCAGGGTTGCAGTCGGTGTTTCACCTGCAAAACAGTAGCATTTGTAGCTTGATGCCTCACCAGACCGTGGGTCAAACAGCAGGGTGGGGTTCAGGGACGGGTCTCAGTGTGCGAGGTTGGAGGAATTCGAGCTCTCAGTTCCCCATGGTTTGTCATCGTTTGCTTCTCGGTGACCGGGTCAGGTCTACCTGAAGGGGGCAAAGCTTGGCGAGGCAGCGCTTGGCGGCACTCTCACATCTCTTGTCTTCCGCTATTCTGGAGAGCATTTTTTGTGTTCTCTTCACAAAGAGTTGCCAGGGCTCCTACGGGGAAGTTTTCCTAGCTCTTCACGCCTCCTTGGGCCAGAGCCTTCAGCAGGATCTGGATAGCACATGACAGCACGTTGCGTGTGTTGCCATATGTCGCCATTGCATGTCGTTGCCAGCTTTCCTCGGGATCTTTCGGCCATCCCGAAATCGACATGAACACAGGAAATAGAGGATTCCAGGGTCGTGCCGGCGAGGGTGGGGAATGATCCAGACGGTTGCAGATGGTGCAAAAGCCGTTGCGGGATGTCGGCAAGGACGCCGAGATGAATACTACACATGCCACGTTCGATTGCAACAAGGTCGGTGAGCCGCGCGCAGACACAATGGGAGTCCAGCGCATGGCCACTTCTCCACATGACTATCGCACGGGTGTGTTCCATGCATGAAGTCCGCAGTACAGATCCCCCAAGATATAGGAAGTGCCCAGATCCCCAAAACTGAATTATGGTGCTGCTGGAGTTTCGTACAAAGCAAGCCGAGGCTTGACCGGTGTTGTGATAGTTGCGCAAGTCAAACGGTCTGAGTCCATCTTGGTGAGCATAGCCTGCAGTGCTTGCAAGATTGATTGTAGGTGTGCTTTGGAGTTGCACGGAGCAGCAGGTTGTGTGTGTGTGTGTGTGCTGGCACTGGGTCGACGTGTTGCCAAGCTGCGACGGGGCCCGAAACAAAAACGGACAATCGCTGTCCTCCGGTCACCCCTGTTTCCTTCTTTGAGCACTACAATCAGACGGAAGTTGGTTGCTAGCTCCCATCTTCGCCACTCAGGTGTAGCCCGAGTAGTGAAATCGGTGTCGCACTCAGCTGTCCCACACTTTGCGCAGCGCGAGCGCCATACCTTGAGTCTCGAAGGGCGCCCGTTGTTCCATTGCCAGGTGCCGAAGAGCCAGTTGAGTGTGGCGGGCGAGCAGGTTGAGGTTGAGGCATCACGCCACCTGGCATGTGGCTGCACATGGGAAGTGTGTGTGTGTGTGTGCAGCATCAGTCCAACTACGTCGGACCATGTCGAACCTATCACGCATATGCTGGCAGGTCAACATGCTCAAATCCTTGGATCATCCGCACATTGTGCGTGTCTTCGAGGTCCATCCCGTAGAAAGTGAATGCATGTGAAAGCACTTTTAACTTGTGCACTGCGCACCGCCTCGCGGCGAGGCCTTCGAGAGCGAGGAGAGCCTGCACATCGTGATGGACTATGCGGAGGGTGGCGACCTGGCCTCTGTGATACGAGAGACGGTGGACACGGAGACGTTGCTCCCACAGCCCTGGGTGCGCGAGGCGGCAGTGCAGATGGCATCGGCGTTGGACTACATGCACTCTCGTGGCGTTATCCACTGTGACCTGAAGCCCGGAAACACTATGCTCTTGACTCCTTTCAGCATGGAGGATGCAATGAATGGCTCCTGGCCACATGTATTGCTAGTGGACTTTGGCCTAGCAGAGATTTTTGATGAGCAGGTCGCACTAGGTGGACCTGCAACTGTGAAAGGCAGCCCAGCCTACCTCTCACCGGAAGGGTTTGATGGAAAGCTGACACAGAAATCAGACACCTGGGCTTTGGGTGTAATGCTCTACGAGATGCTCGTGGGTGCCAGACCATTCCGAGGGACCAACAATATTTTCGTTTTATATTGCCAGGTTGCGAACAATGAGCCTGCCTTTGACAAAGTTCCCGAAGTTCCTCGATCTCTGGTCGTCGCGCTGATGGCAAAGGATCCTCAAGCCCGCATTTCTGCAAGGCAGTGCTTTGACCATGATTGGCTCCGATCGGCCCTCAGCGAGTTGGATGATCACCTGCAGATGCCGGAGGGACTTGGCCGCCCAACAAGCTACTTCTACCGAGCCGTTAGGCGCTGAGTGTTGAAGGTGACGCTAGTGAAGCTAGTGAAGCTGTTGCATCGGCACAGGTCTCGCGGCTTGCGGTCTCTTGCAGGGAATTGTTGCTCAGGTGACTTTCTGCATGGCTGCGGCCTTGGGCATGAAGGACCTGAGCCGGGACACGAAGCTCTTCGAGAACTTTGACACAGACAAGTCGGGCCAACTGGACACGGAAGAACTGAAAGCGGGCTTGGCCAGGTTGGGACTCCGACAGGAGACAGCTGTTTCAGTGCTCTTTTCCCGCATCGTGTTCAGCGCGCGCTTTGTGTATCTTTGACCTGCAGGATCCGAGTGGTCTCATGGCAGCTATGGACCTCGACCAGGCATCGGGCATCGGGCATGTGAAACTTTCACGGCTCTCGCATCTGTAAGGATGGCCAGATCTCGTACACAGAGTTTCTGGCAGCGACCTTGTGTCTGGACGAGGTGCGGTGCCTGCCGCAGGGTGCTCCGCGCCGGGTGTCTCAAGCTGACAGCGACCTGGGCCACTGCACAGGAGCGCGGGGAGCGCTTGATGAGATACGCGCTCCCTGACTGCCTCGAATTCAGGGGATGAGTTGAGAGGTGTCAGAGCGTCAGAGCGCTTGCAAGGTTCGGCACTTTTGATCTGGACGGTGATGGCTACATTTCCATGCCAGAACTCAGACGGCTCCTGTCAGGCCGGGAGCATTGCGCATTGATGCACGGAGCATGTTCCACAGTCTGACGTGAGAGGTGAGGGAGTCCTGGTGGCAGATGTCCTCCCAGACGGACAGACAGTAGATGAGGCTTCGTGCTTTGACGCACTCGCACTATTCAGTCAGTATCCACCAGAGAAGTGCTTGTCGTGCAGGTTATGGAAGAGGTTTCCAGTGGTGAGGGCGAGATTTCGTTCTCAAGATTTCGGTCGGTCCCCCGGCGGTCTGCTCGGAGCGTGACAGTGCGACATAGTGCACAGCCAGGACATATCTCACCCGCAGCTACCGGAGTCCTTCCCCCAGATTCGCTGCAAGTGCCGATGTCAAGCGACCGCTTGCCATCGTTTGCCATCCGAATCCAAGGTGCCGAGCGGCCGACGTCAGCGGCTATCCGGGGGCTGGCCATGGCCCCATGCATGACCCTGGTCACTTTCGGCCGCGTGCTACGGAGTCGCCCATTCGCGGGCAGGTTGACGCCGGACCCATCCAAGTACATGGTTATAAGTCACATAGGACGGTAGCTACCCACAGGCCCACAGTCTGCATCCCCAGCCAATAGAGGCATTCCAATGCGGCTGAGGTCCGAAAGCACACAAAAGAGCTGGATGTGGAACAAGGCGGGTCGAGAGATCGCCGACAGAAAGACAGGGTTGCGCGAGCTCTTTGCCCGGAGATCTTGGCGATCCATGTGACCAAGAGGATGAGATGGAGCCAGAGGCCAGTCTGCTCCTTGACAGCTTGACGCCAGACTTCGCACTTTGAAGGATGCTTCCGATCTCATGAACCGCTTGGACGAAATCGACGAGCACGAGGCCACTTGACAACGAGGCCCGTGGAGCTGCTGTTTGATCCAAGACAGGATGAGGAGTCCTTGCCAGAAGAGGGACCTGGGCGCCGGAGCCTTTGGAAAGCTTCGGCTCTCTGTCTACCGGTCATCCAGTCACTCGCGTGTGTCTGACCCCTAAACTTCTCATTGATAAACAGATCATTTGTGCTGCACGGCCTCTTTGCATGCGGGTAAACGCAAGCGGGAGACATCCACCAGCCCCTGGCACACGACGTCCGGAGGTGCTTGGATGGTTATCCGATGTTATTTTAGTCACGCTCCCTTTCTGCAGGCTTTCAGTACTGTGCGGGTGGTGTCTTCTTTATCACACTCCGCTATCCACACGAAATTGACGGAGGTAGCTACACCGCTTGTCCCTTCCGCCCATCCACCTAGAGATTCCTCCATTCGCCTCGCAACTTGGATGGCTTTGCATCAAACTACGGGCTAACTACGGGGGCACGATAAGGGAAAACACTTGGATCGGCGTGGTTACATTCTTTGGATTTCCTCCTTTTTGACTTATCATACGAGTGCTTGCATGCACGCCGTGGTGGAATGTCTGTTGGTTAAGGTGGGCTTCTGCGTGGCACCACAGGCCGATGTTTCGCTTGCAGTGTTTACGGACATGTACGGTTGCTGACACACGGCGCTGCTCCTGAGCTCGGTCTTCTGTGGCTGGCGGCCCAAGAAGGGGAGTTTTTTGTAGAAGCCTAGCAATGTGCTGTTAACATACGAATGCCCGCTCCTGCAAAGGGAGTGCAAGTGAAGAAACTGGTGACCAAGCTTCCGGAGTCATGGGAAGAGCACCAGGATAATTCCGGCCGCACCTACTACTGGAACTCTGTGACAGGCCAGTCACAATGGTTCCCGCCGCCTTTGGCAGCCAAAAGTGCCGAAACCGTGCGGAGCTTGATTATCCAGCACAATTTCAAGGCCGCTGACAAAGATGGAAGTGGCACCATCAGTAAGTCCGAGTTGGGCTTAATGTTGCGACGCATAACTCCAGACATGTCTCTCAAAGAGGTGGAGGACATGCACAAGTCCATGGATAAGGATATGGATGGCAAGGTCAGCTTTGCAGAGTTTAACACCTGGATAATGGCTGACAAACAGAAAAAGCTGGCGGAAAGGCTCACGAAAAACGTGTCCTCGCCTGCCAATGCAGTTTCTGCAACTTTCCGGATCTGGGATACGGATGGCAGCGGCAAGCTAACCGAAGCCGAAGTAACAAGCGTGCTGCAAAAGGCAATACCCCACATCACCAGCGAGTGTCTGCAAACCATTTTCGGTGAGTTGGATTCGGACAGGAAGCCCGTCTGCATTGTCCTCGTGTTCCTGAACCGGCCAGTATTGAGTCGACGAAGCACATGGGCATTCCGGTAAAAACAAACCCAATCTTTTATCCTTGCCCAGGGCAGCATGTACCCGGCACACGGAAAGGCGAAGAAGCCCGAGCGGAACGCTTTACAATAGTAGCTCAATCTCAGTTGATGGTACTGGCAATACGTATCCCAAAGCTAGCCGTGCGAAAGCCCTGGGGCGCGGAAGATGGAAGGCTTGCACATGGTCATCGAGTAAAAGGCAGCACTGCATGAAGTAACGGCATCCTCAATAGCACACAGCAGCTTCCTGAGGTAAGATATTGCTCATGCAATCCTCAGGGGGTGAAATAGGCGCACCAGAACATGTGTGTCTGCTCTCGCCATTGAGGAGCGGTTGCGTCGACATGGAAGAATTTGTTGCATTTCTCTACGGCGGTGCTGGAGCCAAGGCATCCTTGGACAAGGCAGGGAGTCAGGTTGGTGCATTCTACGGTAGGTACAAGGGTCCATTCTAAAGATGCCTTCAAACACAGAGAGAAATCCTGGTTTTGTGGGGAACCCAAGGACAACAGCAAAGACCTGTCAAGGCAAAGGGTAAAGCATGTAAAGCACGTGTGGAGTGTTGGGCAAAGCACATCGTGAGGCGGCCGTTGCTCGACGACCCGGGTGGGCAGAAGTCCCGGATAGCAAGGAAGCCAGCGCCGCACATGCAACGCCAACAGCGCCCAGTCTCCAGGAGCGCAGGCCGCCGGTGCCGGTAAAATGAAGAGCCTTGTGACCTACAAGCAAGGCATAGCATAGCATAGCAAGGCTTCAATGTGTGTTTCGTTCCGGCTCGGAGGCCATGGACGTTCTCCTTTGTAAGATAGTACGGAGACAGTACGGAGATAGATGACGAGAGATCAGGTCGAGGCACTTTAGACCACGTCTCAGTGATCTCCAGACGTGCGGCACAGGATGCCATCGTAGGTGCTGAGAGCCCTTCCTCAAGGGTTTTTAACGTAGGGTGTGGAATGTGGGCTGGAGTTGATACATCAATTTAAGACGCATGTGTCTGGCATGCTGATGCAGAGTGCCGTTTCAACCCTCATCGCCCGCCCCAGCTGCCATGCAGCCACAAAATGGTTTCTCAAGCTCGGTCCAATGTTTTTGCAGCGGCCTGACGTTTGGATCAGTCAGGCGTGCAACTGTACAGGTAAGAAGCTTTCTGTTAATGGCGAAATGTTTCACCTGATCTTTGAGGGGACATGCCTCCGTAAGTGGCTTAAGGCCCGTTTTCTGTGTAATGCGCGGCATGGTGGCATGGATTGCTCGACGAAAACTAGAAGGTTTAAGACGGCCTGAGCTGGCTCGCTTTTGCTGTCATCTGCCCATGTGAGCACTTGTCTGCTCCAGGTCAGCTGGAAAACTCCAGCGAGGAATTGCTGGGCTTCCACCAGTGGTTGGACGACCTCTTTCAGGAAGCTCGACACACAAGCAATCCTCACAATGCACTTGTCATGTCCCCCGAATCTGCAGAGCACTGGAAGCTTCAGAGGCGTTGTTTTTCAGCCTTCTTTTCATGATATGATTTGTATAAGTATGGCCCTGGGAGTCGGACCGCACCACCCGATCAGTGCGATAATACAAGGCAGTGCGTGGTATGGCCTGTTTTGCAAATCGATGCAACGAGGCTGTTGTCGTCCTGGTATGAACACCTATTGAACTTGTGAAGTGCCGGAGCAAAACAAAAGCATGTCATTGCCGGCACTGAAAGAGGGAGAGGCGTCTGCATTCAAAAGCGAGATCTTTCAAGACACCCTTACTCTCATGATTCCATCATGCTCCCAAGCAGAGAGACAGCTAAAAAACAAATCAATTCCGGAGGGCATTTGGACAGGAATGCGTCGGAAGAGGGGCTTTAAAGGGGCCAAGAGGACAGTACAGTTAGGGGATATTAGGGATTAGGAAGACCCAAAGGATCGGTCATTCCAGTGTAGACGGGTGCGACCTCTAACTGTATTGAAGCTCTCTCTCTCTCTCTCTGTCTCTGTCTCTCTGTCTCTCTATCTCTCTGTCTCTCTGTCTCTCTCGTCTCTCTCTCTCTCTGTCTCTCTGTCTCTCTCTCTCTCTCTCTGTCTCTCTGTCTCTCTTTCTCTGTGTCTCTGCGCCTCTGTGTCTCCTTGTCTCTGTGTCTCTTTGACTCTCTGTCTCTGTCTCCCTGTCTCCCTGTCTCTCCGTCTCTCTTACTCTCTGTTCTGTCTCTCTTTGTCTCCGAGTCTCTGTCTCTTTGTCTCTCTGTGTCTGTGTCTCTGTGTCTCTCTCTCTCTGTCTCTTTGTCTCTGTGTATCTCTGTCTCTCTGTGTCTCTGTATCTTTGCCTCTTTGTCTCTCTGTCTCTCTGTCTCTCTGTCTTTCTGTCTCTGTGTCTCTGTGTCTCTGTGCTGTTGACATTCGTTTGGAACGGTCTCAAGTTCCTTCGATGCTGCCAAACCAAGGACCAGCGGCGCGATGCCCGACTGACCTTTTTGCTGCGCTTTCGGGACCCACGTGTTGAGGCACCGAACCCAACTTTTTTAAGACAGGGTTGTCGATCGGGCGAGGGTTTTGCAAACTTGTGGCACCCGACCTGCACTCATTGCAACTAAAGCTTTAATGGCAAACATCGAGACATAAGAAGGTTCACAAGCTTGCAAGTACTTCTCTTACCGCCATCGACTGCATTTCTGCTGTTGGTGTATGGAAACCCTGCGTCGCTGGCGAGCGCAGCTTTTCCCACCTATTCCGTCCGGACAAGGTAGATTCAAGCAGAGATACCCACATTGCACCGCGAACAACAGACTCGCCAGACTGCCATTACAAAAACCGCAGGGTCTCTTTCAGGCTCTTATTAAAGCTCCTCGCACTGGAGCTGCTTTACTTGTAGATCTCCCTGAAGCTGAGCAGCCGAATGCAAGCGGCAGTCATCCAGCTCCAGCTGTGTGTTTGGAGCTCCATCTGCTCTGTCACAGTTTGCCAGGCAGCTTATGTGTCCCACTACTTGCCAGCGACTCTGCGCCAAGCGCAAGTTTACTCTTTGCCAGTGGCAGGCCTGCTGCCCGTGCCACTATGTTGGAGCATGTTGGAGTGTGCATGTGGTCTTCCTTCGCACTGCGCAATGCCTGCAGCCTACGCGGTCTGGGCTGTGACGACCGAGCACTTCGATTGGCAGCCGCCGAATCCTTGAATAAATCAATCACGTTGTTGATCCTCGATGGTAGGCCGAGTAGGCGCGTGTTTGCCTGGCATGCGCAGGTCACTCCTGATCTGGACTCCAACCGTCCAAGCAGCCTGGTGCTTAGTAGTACGCTGTTGACAAGGCAGGCCTTTGACTGTAGGCATGCTTATACATCTTATACAATCAGGTCAACAACCTTGCCTGGCTGGTGATCTTCGTCGGGGCGCTTCTGATGTTTGCTGTCCGGGTCTTGTCTTCGGCTTCGTAGAACCACGTCTGGTTTCCGAACTATGCAAACACGCAGACATGTCGAGACACAGTTGCAGTCGTCTCCAGCTCTTGACAAGGGACAGTCTGCTTGAACCAAATGAAAGGCAAACCATTCATTCCCACATGTCAATATGCTCCCACTCAGTGAAGCGGCATCCGAACACTTCAAACTCGTCGAAGGCATACAGGGAAACGTGCGCATCAGATGACGATAAGAGTGGCGAAGCCGCCCCTTCCCCTGTCTTGTGTTCTATGCACGTGCATGGTCGAGTTCCGAAACCAGCAACTTTCGCTCGGTTCCAGCTCCAAGCTACACCATCCGTACATTGACGTCAAAAAAACGACAACTATCCGATGATTCCGGCTCCGAGTTCCTCTCCGTGTGATTGTTGCAAGTTTTGAGAATGCTTGGGGGAGGGCATCCTGGACCATGAGGGGGTGACGTGGGGGGCCGCGGAGCGCGTGACCATACAAACACATATGGGTGGTTGTCAAAATTGTGGTCCCTTTTTGGGTCCGTAATATAATACGGCACCTAATATTTAGGTACCCAAAAAGGGACCCTCATTTTGACAACCACCCATATGACGTAACATACACCTTTCGGGTCTTTATTGAATACTTTCTCGCCCCTGTATGATTGTCAAACCGCCGTACATCCGCAAACTGACAAACTAAACGACACAGGGAAGTCGGACCCAAGACCGGAAAGGTTGGCTGTATGCTAGGGAGCTACCTGACGCCAAAGTTTTTGCTCCGTCCCGCACCTCCCGCCTGGCCGTGACGTCGCCGGGGAAAAACAAGTCTTTGCTTAACATTGCTTAACAAAATGAAACAGGCCTGCACCAAGAACCCTAAAGGCAGGGCAGGGGGAGGCAAGAGAAACATGAAATGAGGCACAAGTTGCACAAGCAGAGTTGAGAGCACAAAGCTACAGATCAAGTTGCCCAGTTACAAGTTATCGACATAATTCGACATAATTCATAACATAACTTATGTTTATTGTAAGTTGACTCACCCTTGGCTCCTGCTGCTCAGTGCCGAAGGCTTGTTGAAAGAGAGGAAAGAAACATTTGAGCCACGGGTGGTTCAGGAAGCTTCGCTTTTCAAACGCGAGGTTGCAAAAGAGTATCAAGTAAAGCATGCTGCGTCAGAGCTTCAGGCGAAGCCGTGAAGTGTGCGCACAGTGCACCAGTGCGTCAGCACAGCGTGTCAGACTTTCAGGCGAAGCGTACTGCGTGAGAGCGTCAGGCGAAGCATTAAGCACAGTGTGTCAGAGCGTGCGTCTGACAGTAAATGCGAAGCACGGTGGGTCAGTGGGTCAGGCGAATTGCCAAGCATCGTGAAGTACAGTTTTCAGAGCACCGTGCATCGGACCTGCAAGAGGCAAAGGTATAGGCTCGTCCCCTCGCCACCTTCGGCATCTCCACGTTGGCAGTCCAGGTAGAGCCATCAGGATGTAATTAATCCTAGCAGGGCACTTCGGTCCCGTGGTTCGTAAGGTGTTGGCTGCTAGCTACACGAGTCTTGAAGATCATGCTCTGCATGAAGTCGGTGGCAGTCACAACGTTGGTTTGCAGGCTGTTCTCTCGACCTGACAGTATAACTGTATGCTGACCGTGACTCTGCGAATTGATCAATGTCCTTTGTGCACTCATGGGATGCCTCAGCTGGATGAGGCATCGTCACTCTGGAATCATTTGCTTCTTTGAGGGTTTTCGAGGTTGTATGTCATGTGTGTTCTTGTCCTGGTGATCGTTCAAACGTATTGAGATCGGCGAATATAAGCATTCGAGCTTTTCGTGAAGCCGAACGATAAAGGATGACCCCGAATCGTCAACTGTCCGCGAGACAAAGATGCCGATGGGGCAACCAGTGGCAACTTTGAAAGCTGTAACCTGAGAACCCCACTTGATTGAGGCGATAGCACTTTGGCTATGGAAGCGGCGCAAGAAGGCCCAGCAGTCACACGTGCTTGCGGAAGAACTCGGCTGCTTTG